GGCCTAAATTATCTTACATTGTCGAATAAATAAATCATATAAGCACTTGCTTGAATCTCTTTAGAGATGAGGCTTGATACATCTTTAAATCATGTGCCAACATCAAATGATATAAATTATCAAACAACCCTTAGTACTGTCTTGTGCATTTTTAACCGCTTGACATGCTGCATCAAGTTGTCATACGAGTTGTTATGCAAGTTGTCATAATCAAAAGTACAATATCAACAACAAACTATGATAGTAATCTTTAGCTTTGATCACTTCTTGAATGAACTACAAAACATGGTTCCACATACATTTCATTAAAAAAAAGAAGGTAAATCATGTCATACAAGAGTCATATAATTTAGATTTCGGAAACCCTTGAATGCTAAGTATACTTGGGTAATTAGGCTTGACTTGCCTAGTAAGGAAAATAACCTGAATATAGTCGAAGTGAGAGTCGTACCTATATTATGGTAGATATAATACATGGATGAAGACGTCAATGAATTAACATTTATAAGATAACATATATTGTATATCAAAGTGAATGCGTGAAGATGTCCCATGTGATCGTAGATTACAATCACAGGTGCATGACATGTCTCGTTGATCCTATTGGATGGTATGTGATTATTCTAGTGACTTGGTGAAGGATATATGATCTATACCTGCAACTTAATTGGATGAATCCCGGTAATCCTCGATAGAGGATTATGTGATTATTCGATATTTTATATGACGTATATTAAATTATTCATGGGGGTCGTAACTCATACGGATTACTTAGGAGTTATAAGATTGTTGACGTCTCTTTAGATTCTACGGAGGAGGATTAGTGAATACTCTAATAGACAGATTTAAGTTATGTGAGTCACTTTAATAAATTATACAACTTGTATCTTGAATTATATAGAAATGATAATAAGTTATTTAATGGTTTAGATTAAGAACTCACTAAAATTATTATGTCATCTCCATTGTTATTATTATTTTTCAAATAAGCCAGTATTTAGATTGAATTTGCAGCTTTAGACTCGGCAGTGAAGACACAAAGAATATATTTCCACTATATTGAAGATTTATGTTTAATAGATAACCCATCTGATAAACTTATTGAGAAATTAACATGCTATCCGAAAATTAAATATGCCATCCCCCAATTTTTTTTAATTTTAATTTTGTCTCTAATGAGATACAAAGAAAATTCTTGATGAAATTTTTGGTAGAAGAGTTAAAATTTTCAATACATATGAAATTTCCGATACATTTCTATCAAATTTCCGGTAAGAATAAATTTCGGTAGTACATTTGTAATTTCTGATGTAAACTGAAAATTTCAAATTTATGTGACAATTTGAACTTTTAAATTTCAAATTTCAAAATTGAACTATCGGAAATTTCAAAATTTCCGATATCCTATAAAGTCTCGGGAATTTTGAAATTTTCGATGCAAAAGGAAAATGTTTACATCTGAAATTTCAAAAATTCTGATACGAAAATATCTGAAATTTTGAAAATTCCGATACAAAATATCGAATATTTCACAAATATACAAGAAATTTCTTACAATTTCATTAAATTTCCGATATCACCTTGAAATTTTCAATATCACCATTTAAAGAGGTTGGTCACGAAAATTTTAAATTTATGAAAAATATCTAAATCTAACTAATTTGGTCTTTTCACACCATTTAAAAAAATATCACATATGAAAGGAGAGGAGTAATATATTAATTCCTCAAATTTATTGTACTGTAAAAAATTTATCAGTCCAATTTCAGACTTGTACATTGAGAAATTTATGTAACAAAATTTCTACTATAATAACTATTGTAGACGTATAGCAGCCGTCTTACATTTTGGTGTCATATAAAAACACTTTTAATTTGATTTAGTTAGTTATATTAATTGAAACGCAATTTTATATCATTCATAAGTGTACTAGAGATAAATTAAACATTATAATTAATTAAGACAAATATGAAATATTATAAAGAAAAGTAAAAAAAATTAAGGATTTAAAAGTAAAAAAGGTAGGTTGCGGCATAATGGTCCCTTGAAACGTGTGAAATTAGAATTATAAAAGGGCTAGGTGGACGAATGAAAAGGCCGCAACTGATCGGATCTGAGTGCTTATTCCCATCCACGAACCACGATTTCTCGTGTCCACGCGTCGTTTCCACCTTCATACCTTTCTAAACAACTTTCTTAATTAATCAATCAATAATTACAAAACAAAAATGGAATAAGAATCATCTAGAAACTCATCACAAGAACCAGGCTCAGGCTCAGGCTCAGGCTCAGTGCAAAATCAAATCATCTCTCTAATTTCACTGTAAAATTAGATTAATAACCTACTTCTAATTTCAGGTTCGTTTCTTCTTCTTTCTCTTTATAATTAAATATGAAACTTACTCAGACTCATACCACTTTTGCGTTCTAGATCTTCAACTTTCTGTCTTTCTATCTGCCATCTTTTTATTTTTAGGGTTATAGTTCACGCTTCAATTTTTAAATATGACTGTGGCTAATTTTCATTTATCCCTCTATCATTAAAAGAATTAAATATATTCTAATCAAAATTCAAAATTTTAATTCTTCATTGATATCATTGTTTCAAAACATGTTTAACCTTTTAAGATGTGCATTAAATTTGTCCAAAAAATATATAAGGTGTGATGAAGCAAAAAGAAAAACAATTTCTTTTTAGAAAACTTGTCTGGATTGTGTGACAAGTTGTATGAGTGTCATACGGGTGTCGAATATCGATTTAACAAGTGACAAAGCATATAAAAAGTCTTTTTTTTTTGCAACACCTGTCTGACTTTTTCGACACGTGTCGTATATGTGTCATACAAGTGTCGTACACCACGACACGCATATGTCTAGAGGTGTCCGTGCTTCATAGCTATTTAGTACCATGTTTCTATCCAAATCGTCAATCTCAAGATCTTTTTTAATAACTTCTTTTATAGTATTTTTAGGTCTTTCTCTCCTTTTATAGTTTGACTTCTCTTTATATGATATACTCTCGTTACCATAAAATCTACATGTCTTCTATTTACATGCTCAAATCAGTTAAGTCTATTTTCCGCCATCTTCTTTATTATAGACGTTACCTCAACACTCTCTAATATTTTCATTTTTAATCTTATCTCATCTAGTCTTACTATAAATTCAATGCAACAACCTAATCTCTAATACAATTACTTTATTCTCGTGTTGATTCTTAACCGCTCAACATTCTTTCCCATACAACATCGCTGGTCTTCCCACAATCCGATAAAATTTTCCTTTCAGCTTGACTGGTACCTTTGTGTCATATGAAACACCTCAAACCCTTCTCCATTTTCATCCACCCAGATTGAATTCATGGTTTACATCTCCTTCTATTTCTCCATCATTTTGTAATATAGACCCAAAATATTTAAGCCATGTTGTGACTTGAGGGATGATATGGTTTTCAACTTTCACCTCTACATTAGAGACACTTTTTCTTTTGTTGGACTTACACTTCATATACTCCGTCTTACTTCTGCTTAGACGAAAATCATGTGTTTCTAAAACTCGTCTTCAACCTCTTATTTAAATCCTCCTTCGACTCTCCAAGTGGGACTAAATTATCAGTAAAAAGCATGCATCTTAATGCTAGATTTTGGATGTGTCTCTTGAGTACATTCAAAATTAAGATAAAAAGGTAGGGGGTTTAGGGTTGAACCTTGATGCAAACCTATTGTAATGAGAAAATCATCCACCTCTCCACTATGTATCGACACACTAGTTAGTACTCCTTCATACATATCTTATATAGCTCGAATATATGCATTCCTAACTCCTTTTTTCTCTAGGGCTTTCTAAAAAATCTCTCTAGGCTTTCTATGATACGACTTCTCCAAGTCAATAAATATTAAGTGCAGGTCTTGTCGGTGCATCCGATATTTCTCCATCACACGCCGTAGTAGATAGATCGCGTCTATGGCCGACCTTTCAGACATAAAATCAAATTGATTCTCAGTGACTTGAGCTTTGGTGAGTCTAGGTGATTTGAGTCGTAGTTGATCCATATCATAGAGATTCGACATAGTTTTAAGTTGGCTATCAACTGTCTAACACAACCTTCTTTTATCCGGGTTTAGGACCGGCAATGCGCAACCCTCTCCTTTGTGACTTTTAAGCCTAGTTCCAAAAAATATGGGTATATTGTGGGCATTGTATTTCTTGAACAAAAGGTGGTAGGAAATAGTGTGGGCATTCCTTTCCTATTGAACTTTACTGTAGTAGTAAATCTTTGGCAGTTGTGAAACTTCATACATGCTAAATATCTTTGTTAGTTAAAGGTAAAGAATCAACTAAGAGTTACTTTTTGTTTCATTGATCATTTCTATTTTAAATATCCAATGTAGTGAGTGTGAATTTGATAAATATCCATCTCATTCTTCCTTGAAATTTAAATGAATTTCAACATAAGGTAGGTAGGCTATGCATTCTTCATCCTTCAAGTTCAAAAGGCTTTTATGTGAGGGTTTTCCCATAAAGTTTTCACTAGTTTGTCACTACACAAATTAAGAAAGTTGAACTATGCTGTTTGGTATGATATCAAAATCATTTCTTGTGAGCTTTAGAAACACATTACTAGAATATTTTTCATTGAAGGATACATGTTTTTTAGTCGCTTTTCTCTCTCTAAAATACATTAAAATTTGGGAAACAATGAAAACTTTCATTTCTCTCTTTAATGGTTTTGATGATATGTTTCCGTGGGTTTATTATGTTCTTGATGCTAAGTTATTGCAAGTAATTTTCTAAACTGTTTTGGTGTTACAGCTTCAAGGTAACGTGTTGGATGAATTTGTTGAAACGGATGATAAGATAGCGCTCCATGCTGATGACAAACTTAAGAACCAGTTTGCAATATAATCTGATAGTAAGAAATTACTGAGCTATATATTGTATCAAAAGTAACATTAAACTGCCGATTACCTGAGGAGCTATTGTACTCAAGGTGAAGAGCAATGCTCCCAAATCAGAACCAGAAAGAAAGAATGGTGGAAAAGGGTCCATGGTCTTGCAAACCTGAAGATCTGTTTTCTCCGTGTAATTGTGACTCAGGCAAAGAACAGAAAAGGCCAGCATTGCCAAGTATGTCTGAACGTTGTTTTAAGAGCAGCAATATAGATTCTAGCAGTGGTGAGCTTTGTGCAAATGATAGTATTTTAGGAAACAAGAGTTTGATGGAGGATGATAGTGTGTCTCAATATTCAATTAATCATATATCTCAACCTGACAACGAGCTTAGCTTTCTTGATACTGATAGGTGGCTTGATATAGACAACTTTGAAGATGTTGACAGGATGATGTTGTAAGAAACTCTCCCTTGACAGAAGTTTTTCATCTTTTGATTTGTTTGAGTTACTAGTCAATTCACAATGATTACCATAAATACCTGAATACTAGTTTTTAAAATTTCAGAAATTATGACTCGACTTTTGGAATGGGGAGCCTCAATAATGAAGATGAATTCTGCTGGCTCTCTTCATCACATGGAACTGAAGGACCCGTTGGCGATGCCCTGAAATGTGAGTTCAAGTTTTCACCTGCTGATGCAAGTCCACTGAAAAGTATATCAGAATCAGATTATAATATGGATCTGAAGGACAATATTGAAGGTCTGCCAATTCTTGATTGTGACAAAAAAACATCTCCTTTTGATATAAAACTGAGGTGTGAAATGGAGGTTGATCTTGACGCAGTTCCTACTTCATTGTCAACATTTGGGGAATCAGATATGACGTCGGGTATTACAGATGACTTGATGCCTGAACAAAAGGTTGGTTATCCCATACTTTATTTAAATTTTAATTTGGATTCTGCATATCTCAATTTTAAAATACGTAGCTGCAGTTTGTGCGGGATTCTTTTGAAACACATACACCCACCAAATGAACCTCATAAACTTATTGCATAATAAATTTAATTCTGTTTCTAAGCTCTTTGAATTTATATATTGAATTCTGGCTTGTATGTATTAGAGTGAGATATGAGAGAGAAGAGAGAAAAAGCTAAAAGAGAAAAGAGAGAAACAGATTCTGTTATTGCTTAATTGGAAAGGAGCATTATGCTCTATTTATACAAGAGGAGATGAACATTCAAGAGTTGAATCATTCAAGCTCTACAATTAAGGAAGACTTTTCTTATTCTATTAAATTAAGGCTGGACTTAATTATTCTATAGTGCTGATTATTCATATTCTAAGATATAACTCTAATACTCCCCCACAAGCTCAAGGTGGCTGCAAAGGCTGACTTGAGGCAGACAGGTTGAGCTTGCTGCTGAGCTCCATAAATCTTGAACATGAGAGAGGCTTGGTGAGGATGTCAGCCTTCTGGTCAACACCAGGAATCCTGGCTGTTTGTGTTATAGGGGTTGCTGACCCAGAGGCAGTAGGTGTGGGGCTGGAATTGGATTGGGAAGAAGAGGAGTGTGAGACAATAGGTGTGGGGCTGGAATTGGATTGAGAAGAAGAAGAGGAGTGTGAGACAATAGGTGTGGGGCTGGAATTGGATTGAGAAGAAGAAGAGGAGTGTGAGGTATTGGAAGCAGTAGGAACGGGAAAAACATGAGGGAGAGCTTGTGTGTTAAGGGTTACTTTAGATGAGGAGGAGGATGGAATGGTTGATGAGGGGAGAGAAACATTAGAGAAAAAAAGATCATTGTAAGGAAATTTGGACTCGTTGAAAAGAACATCTTTAGAGATGAATATTCTACCACTTGGAGAGAGACATTTGTAACCTTTGTGAGCTGTAGAGTACCCTAGAAAAAGGCACTCGTGGGATCTAAAGTCAAATTTTTGAGAGTTGTATGGGCGAAGGAGAGGAAAACAAGCACACCCAAAGACTTTAAGGAATTTATAGTCAGGATTTTGATTGAAAAGGACAGCATATGGTATATGTTGATTGAGAGACATGGTTGGTAACCTATTTATTAGGTAGACAGCGGTTAAAAAGGCATGGTCCCAAAATTTGAGAGGTAAAGAGGCATGACTCAAGAGGGTTAAACCAAGATCAACAACGTGTCTATGCTTCCTCTCCACTACACCATTTTGGTGATGAGTGTGAGGGCAAACTAGGCGATGAATAATGCCAAGATCAGAAAGAAACTTTGTAAATGGGCGAAATTCACCACCCCAATCAGTTTGGACAGATTTAATAGGAAATCCAAATTGTAATTCAGCCATGACTTTGAATTGTTTAAAGATAGTTAAGGCTTCAGATTTATTTTTGAGCAAATAGATCCAAGTAAATCTGGTGTATGCATCAACAAAGGTGATGTAGTAGGTAAAGTTTTGGGAGGATTTGACTGGGGCAGGACCCCATAGGTCACTGAAAATTAATTCAAGAGGAGAGTGATATTGAGTTTGTGACTGAGGGGAGTGCAGCCTATGTGCCTTTCCCATACAGCAGGCAGAACAAAAGATAGATTCAGCTTTATTAGAATAAGGAATATTACATTGAGCTAAAACAAGTCTCATAGTATTAGAATTTGGATGACCAAGGCGTAAATGCCAAGTATGTTGAGAATTATATGAGTTATTAGCTGATACATTTTGATTAGAAACTGAAACCCTATCACTAGTGCTGGAATCAGATCTTGAAACATGAGCATTAGAGTCTAAGGTGAGACATGAGACTTGACTTGTTGAAGGAGACTTAAGAAGCTGAAGATGGGAAAAGTGGTACAGGCCATCACTTCCTACACGACCTTGGAGCAGAATTTCATTGGTAGCCTGAGATTTGACATAGCACATATCAGCATGAAACTCAAAGAAAACTCTATTATCAAGACAGAATTTGCTGACACTTATCAGGTTCTTTGTAATAGAAGGAACAAGCAGTAAATTATGAAGAGCTAATGGAGTGTTAGGTTTAGAATGAGAAGGAAAATAAGAAGAGCCTGAAGAGTGAATGTGCAAACCTTGACCGTTACCAATGAAGATCTGATCAGGACCTTCAAAAGGTGTGGTTTGCTGTATGTTTTGAGAGGCATTGGTAACATGATAAGAAGCTCCCGAGTCTGGGAACCAGGCACTGCTTGGAACTGAAGTTGTGTTAGCAATCATAGCATTGGGAGTGATATGTGACTGAGGAACAGGGAGAGGGGCAAGTCTTGGTTGATAGCTTGGGCGTGACCGAGTGTTAACCATGGGCTGAGCAAACTGAGGTCCACCAATTGGTTGATACGGATAGAAATTTTGTAGGTTCATTGTTTGAAAATCAGCAGGTATGTTAGGTTGAAATTGTTGATTGAACCTATGATAGCAGTTAGCAGCAAGATGACCACATTTGAAGCAAACTTGACATTGAATGTTGCTGAACCTACCTCTCCCACGGCCGCGTCCACCACCACGGCCAGCTGCACGGCCTCCTCTTGAATAGGTTGGATTAAAGGTTGAATTCACAGCTTGTTCATTGTTCTTGTTATTCGAGTTATCAGTTTCAGGTTGAGAATTGGCTTGAGTGAGATTCACTGAGGCAGCCACCTCCATTTGTGAGTGTTTCTTATACTTGTTGTATCTCATCTCATGAGCAAGAAGAAGAGCTTCAACTTCTTCAAGTTCTACTGAATCAAACTTGCTTTCAATAACTGAAATAACAGAGGCAAAGTCTTGAGGAAGACCTTCAAGAATCACATCAATGTGTTGCTGATCTGGAACTGGATCTCCTACTGAAGCAAGCGCGTCAACAAGAGCTTTGATGCGAACCAGATAATCACCAACAGATTTGTCTTCAAGTGTTGTAGATCTGAGTTCCGCTCGTAGTTGTCTTGCTTTCGCACGTGTAAGCTTTTGAAAATGCGCAAGAATACGTTCCCAGAGCTCGTAGGAATGAACGCATCCAAGAACACGTGAAAGAATTGAAGGTGAAAGCGTGGATTGAAGCCACGTCATAAGCCACTGATCTTGCGTAATCCAGGTGCGATACGCAGGGTTCTCACGAGCAGCGGCACGATCTTCATCAGTCAGGTATTGATTCGGTATGTCACGAAGGTAAAGGTAGTTTTGAAGATTGTTCGCGTTAACGAAAGGATCTACTTGTTGGCGCCAAAGTAGGAAATTCTTCTCATCAAGTTTTTCTGTGATTTTGAGTTGGAAGGACATAGATGTTGGGGTGGCCGGAGCTGTAGTTACTGGAATCGCTGCCATGGATAGAACCGAAGCTCTATGATACCATATTAGAGTGAGATATGAGAGAGAAGAGAGAAAAAGCTAAAAGAGAAAAGAGAGAAACAGATTCTGTTATTGCTTAATTGGAAAGGAGCATTATGCTCTATTTATACAAGAGGAGATGAACATTCAAGAGTTGAATCATTCAAGCTCTACAATTAAGGAAGACTTTTCTTATTCTATTAAATTAAGGCTGGACTTAATTATTCTATAGTGCTGATTATTCATATTCTAAGATATAACTCTAATAGTATGCTACGGTGAAGGCATTAGACCTAATCAATGTTGTTAAATAGTAGCAATGACACACCATTGCATAGATTTGAACAACAAACCACTATTGCTCTGTGATATGCACCCATCAAATGAACCTGATAAGTTTAAGATCTGTCTCTAAACTTGTTAAAATTGTTGATGCCTTTGAATTTATAGATTGAATTCTGTCATCACATGCATCTATGGTGAAGGCATTAGACCTAGTCAATGGAGTCAAATAGTGCAATGGCGACGCCATAGCATAGCGGAATTTGAACAAACCTCTATTGTTCTGTGATATGTTATTTAGTACACAATGTTTGCAAACAGCGGCTATTGCATTGAGGCATGACGTAATTTGAATAATGATTCACGACATGACATTTCAATGATATAATCGATGATGTCAGAATTCATGTATTGTAGAATTCAGTTCAGTTGATATCTGAATATAAACCATCCATTTAATAGAGGTTTTACTGTTTTTGAAGTTACCATGGGTTATATTTGCTGGTGTAATATTTTTGTGATGGATGTTCCGATGATAAGACAATCATCATTTATATAGGACCTCTAATCATATTGCATAATAAGTTTGAGGTCTTTCTCTAAACTTTTAAAAGTTATTGATGGCACTGAATTTATATATTGAATTCTGGCATTACATTTATACTATGGTGAACACACTAGACCTAATCAATGTTGTCAAATAGTAGCAACGGTGAGGCTATAGCATAGCCGAATTGGAACAAACCACTATTGTTTCGTGATACAAGATTTAGTACAATGTGCTGGCAATAGTGGCTGTAGTGTTGTGGCATAGTGTAATTTGAATAAACGATTCATGATTGACAACACATGACTTGTTTGTGTTTCACATTTCAATGATATAACCGATGTTGTCAGAGGTTATGTATTGTAGAATTATTATTTTTGATGTTATAGAGGCTTAGATGGAGGAGGTCTATATGAATGAGGAGGAAAAGAAAGATAAAAGTGATGTTATGAAGATAAGACAATAGTCCATCATTTATACTTATATAGGACTTCTAATCATAATTAAATAAGAAAACATAGGAAATATGAAACTTAGTCTTAAGTGTAAATTACTCTAAAATATAGTTTATATGTTATAAATGGTATAAAATCCTATAACTATGCACACCTTAAACTAAAATTAGGGATATACATTCCACTGGATTATTTTTTTTTAATCGTAAAGACGATATGTGATGTATTCATTTTTATCCTGATTAGAGTTGCATTATTGCATAATATAGTGCATCAATGGGATCAAGTGATTACATTTTTTGACAGCAATTAAGTGATTATATTTTTTATTTTAAGTAAATTATGTTTTAAAGTAGAAAATTGGGCTTGACCTTTATTCAAATTTCAGCTGTTATATCTTTGGATGTTTTGTTCCACTCATCGGGTGTATGTGTTAATTGTATGGTAAAAGTGAATTAATCTGACTGTCCAGTCTATTTAATTCAGGTGTACTTATAAACAGAAAGAAACTGTCTCTTGAATTTCATATTAAGAACAGCCTTGTTGTTTGACAGATACAAGGGCAACTGTTAAAGCAATCAGCGGGAAAGAGAAAAAATAGCTGTCTAAAAGATGGTGATTCTGATCATCCGTTTTCCCACGAGGAGCGGCATGCAAATCTGAAGCAACCCTATGGAGCCTCTTCTAGTGAGGTCACTTCCCGGAATAGCATTCACAAACAAAGACCAAACATGGATTCTGATTCTTTAGGTTGTGTACAGATGCAAACTCCTTCAATGCACCCAGATTGCAGCCATACTTCAAATTATACACCCCTCCTTCCTGCCTCATCTGGATCAAGGTCTGAACACGATGAATATCCATCATATGCATTAAACATGGAGAGTTCTCATGGTCATCCTTTGGAGGCTACTTCCTTGAAAACAAATTATAAGGAAGAAAATCAATATCTTTACAATGATGCAAAACTTACGAGTAGGGGTTTCAAAAGTGAAAATATGCAATTCAAAAGTCCAGGTTCAGCTCAGAAGGTAGGACGTCAGTTTGAAAATGTGAAAGAAGGCCATAGTGAAGTTGGAGAAGTTAACATAGGATTTTCACCAGAAACAGAGTCCTCAAATGTGCAGGAAAGTTCTTCAATGAGCTCTGCATTGGATGGAATCTCACATGAAGCAGCTAGCTTTCGCCAGTTGCAACAGGTCCTGGATCAGGTATTGGAGTCTTTTGTGATGTTATTGTTTGATCCGTGTTCCTTATCCTTGTCTCTTGGACATTGATGTCTAAACTAACATATGCCATGCATCTGACTGATCTCAGTTTCTTCAAGATGATTAATATTCATTTTTAGATTGTGTTAACCAAGGTTGTCAAGATTGAGATCTTACATAAGATCGGGAGAGAATAGCAAGATCATAAAATAAAAATCATTGCTAAGATCGGAAGATCCTACCCAATTATTTTTGTAAGATCGAGAGGGCGTAACAATATTGTAAAACGTAAGATCACAACAATAATCGTTAGATCCTACTAAAATGAAAAAACAATGGTACATATTTAAAGTATTTTTACGTGATATATGTTCGTAGACAAGTGTATTCATGAGAAAATGACTCTTTTTCATAATCTTTAGACATGCATCATTGAGTTTTTATATCTTTATTATTTATTACCACATGGAACATTTGTAGACATTAGGGACATCTTTGATCAATTACTAGGATTCTCATAAGTCAATTAGTTAAAACAAACACTACAAGTGAGATGTTTATTCTCTAAATCCTAAATCTCAAACTTCATCATTTCAAAAAGCTTCATCCCTGCCGAATAATAATTGTTGTGCCTTTACATCTTGTCATCCTTCTCACCTTTTAATGGTGGTGGCCGGAAAACGGCCAACCATGGCCGAAACTGACAATGATTGCACAAAATCAATGATTTTGCGATTTTTTTCACAATTTGCCTACAACACGCGATTCTACTCAAGACCGGGATCGATGGGGGTGAATGAGATCGTAAAATCTCAAGATTTTAAGATCTAGGTCGAGAGTTTGACAACCATGGTGTTAACATTAATTCTCTCATTCTGTTTGCCATATGAATGCGTTGTAAATATGGTCCTCCCAAAACACAACACATTAGGCAACTACCAAATTCTGGTTTAAGGAGGTTTTATTATGTGTGGTTTAGACTTCAGAGTAAGGCCCAGTTTTAGGGAGAAAATTATTCCATGCTGGATTTAACTCATCTAAAGTGAGGATTATTCTTTTAGACTATTGTTTAGAAAATTACTTAATGTAATTATGATAGGAACATGAACATGTATAACTAATTATGAAGTTGTTAAATTCTATTACTGATTATCAAATAAACGGTTATTACTATAAGTATATAACTATAACAACTACTTTTTATTGTTAAATTCTATTTACTTTCTTCAAATAAACTTACTATAACTATACTTTTTTCTAGTTTTAGAGATGCCAATTTTCATGTTAAAGTTATTATCTACCAATATTGTTAAATTTCTGCCAGGGCGTTATAGCATGGCGGATTTTGCCAGCTGACACTTACTATATCCATAATGTTAATCCCATAGGCCACAGCACTGTTTATATAGATGGCCGCCATAATCTGCCTTTAGTAACATCCATTCGCGTTTCTGAAGCCTGAATTTTTTTGCTCAGTTGGTTATAAATTTATAACGTGCTTTTGTAAACATCTTTCCATGATTGCAGTTGGACGTTAAAATCAAACTATGCATAAGGGACAGCCTGTACCGCTTAGCCAGAAGTGCTGACCAAAGACATATTGATGCCAATGCAAGTTCTTTAATGGGCGATGATGTTGAAGCATCTAAAGGAGTAATGACACACAGGTATGCTAACTTCATTCATTTGTTTTTTATTTTCTCTTAGTTAGTAATCAACAACCATTGACACATCTGTTGGGATTATAAAATAAATACATTGGAATCTGTAAAACTATTCACGCACCTAGGAGATCAATAGCTAATAATGTGAATAAGAAATCACATTCATTTACTTAAGAACCAAAAATCACATTTAATGTACTTTATGCCTACATAAACAAATCACTTCACTGGAATCCTACTCAGGCATTCTACTACTGTTCAGTCTTTTTAAAACATTGAAATGCTGATGCAACACAGAGCCTGTTTGTTTTAACTTTAAAAAAATAGATTTTTTCTTTGTATTTTCAAAAATGGATTTTATAAAATCGTTTTTCAAAATAATATATTTTTTTTTTTTATATTCGTTTTTTCTAAATTGAAAAACTAATTTTGACGTTAACATAAATATACGTTATTGAAGATCAAAACATAGTCGAAATTATTTTTTCAAAAGTTGTATTTGTAAATTACTTTTACACAATGATGTAACACTATAAAAATCATATAAAAAAAACCAAAACAAACGGGCCCATAATATTGAGTGAGTAGTTTCATGTTCAGCTTTTGTAGAAGTTCATTTTGTCGGACAGTGAAAAGTAAAATATAGATGATTTGGATTAACAAAAGTCTGTCTGAAGATTTCAAAAATGATTTACAAAACTTAACCAAACAATATTAATATTTCATACACGAACAAAGCTAAGCGTCTAATATTCAATTACAAATACAAAAATGGTGTGTATTTAGCGTTTTTGTTAGTATAATGACACCTATTTGTATACAGGTGTACGGGATTTATGAACATGGAAACTACTACAAATCCCATTGATCGGTCTATAGCTCACTTGCTGTTTCATAGGCCCTCAGATTCATCAATGTTGCCTCTAAGTGATACTTTAAAATCCAGCTCCATGGTATGCATTCCTGATTTATGAAACTGCATGAGTGCTTTAATGAACTAGATAGTTGTTTTCTGATGCTAGTCTCATTTTTTGGTTTAACTAGCAGATACAAGGATCAGCGACCAATCCACCAATATTTACTGAGAAACAGGTTTGTCAGGAAGAATCTGCTGCTGGAGAAGAAAATAAATCTTGAAGGGTATCACATACTGATAACTGAATCTATTATATTGATGTTAATTGAAAAAGAAGACACGTCTTCTTTTTCAATTAAGTCATCATGTTGTATATATAGTTATTTGAGGCCTGCTCAGATCCTTTAGTCATTCAGTTTTTGCATTGATACCATTACACAAAATGTAAATTGAGCTGATAATTTATATAAGGTAGCACATATGATGTAGAGGAATGTAATATACACAACTTTTCTCTGGGTGGTAACTAGGGAGCAAGCAGCCCTCCACACCAGATTTAAAACTTGCAGGGTCGCTGGGTAAAAAATACTAGACGACCATTAGAGGCACATCAAGGAAATTTGGAACGGATTCGATAAATTATATATAGTTTAACTATCTATAACTTAGTGTATGTTTGGATTGGCGGTAGATAAAAATGATTTTAACAAAATTTGGTAGAATTGATTTTAATATAATGTTCGGATACATTTATGTAAAAATTAAGTGAACAAAAATTAAATATCTTGCAATCTCTCCGGAATCAATTCTCTATATTTTTAGAATTGTTTTTGCCTTTTTAAAGCCAAATCAAACATGCTATTTGTTGGCTAATGGTGTCAAATCACAATCACCTTTTCTCAGGACAGGATTCTCTAACTTTTTGGTGGGAAAGTTAGAGTAACTTTAGGCTAATTTTAAGTGAAATAAAAGAAATAGTGGTGTTAGTTTTGGAGGAAAATATATGAGAGAAAGTAGATTAAGAGAGAGATAGAGAGAAAGTTAGAGAAAGGTAGAGAAAAAAAAGTTAGGGGATCCAAACTCTTTTCTCCGGAACACGATTCTTTAACTTTTTAGTGGAAAAGTTAGAGTGACTTTAGGTCAGGTTTAAGTGAAATAATGAAAATAGTGGTGTTGATTTTGGAGGGAAAGATATGTGAGAGAAAGTAGATTAAGAGAGAGATAAAGAGAAAGTTAGAGAAAAGAAAGTTAGGGGATCCAAACCCCTTTCTCCGGACAAGGATTCTCTAACTTTTTGGTGGAAAAGTTAGAGTGACTTTAGGTCAATTTTAAGTGAAATAAAGAAAATAGTGGTGTTGATTTTGGAGGAAAAGATATGTGAGAGAAAGTAGATTAAGAGAGAGATAGAGAGAAAGTTAAAGAAAGGTAGAGAAAAGAAGGTTAGGGATCCAAACTCCTTTCTCCGAACAAGGATTTTCTAACTTTTTGGTGGGAAATTTAGAGTGACTTTAGGCCAATTTTAAGTGAAATAAAGGAAATAATGGTGTTGGTTTTGGAGGGAAAGATATGTGAAAGAAAGTAGATTAAGAGAGAGATAGAGAGAAAGTTAGAGAAAGGTAGAGAAAAGAAAGTTAGGGGATCCAAACCCCTTTCTCTCGAACAAGATTCTCTAACTTTTTGGAGGGAAAGTTAGAGTGATTTTAGGCCAATTTTAAGTGAAATAAAGGAAATAGTGGTGTTGGTTTTGGAGGGAAAGATATGTGAGAGAAAGTAGATTAAGAGAGAGATAAAGAGAATGTTAGAGAAAAATATAGAAAAGAAAGTTAGAGGATCTAAACCCCTTTCTCCGGACAAGGATTCTCTAACTTTTTGGTGGAAAAATTGGAGTGACTTTAGACCAATTTTAAGTGAAATAAAGGAAATAGTGGTGTTGGTTTTGGAGGGAAAGATATGTAAGAGAATGTAAATTAAGAGAAAGATAGAGAGAAAGTTAGAGAAATGTAGAGAAAAGAAAGTTAGGGGATCTAAACTCCTTTCTCAAGACAAGGATTCTCTAACTTTTTGGTAGGAAAGTTAGAGTGACTTTAGGCCAATTTTAAGTGAAATAAAGAAACTAGTGGTGTTGGTTTTGGAGAGAAAGATATGTGAGAGAAAGTAGATTAAGAGAGAGATAGAGAGAACGTTAAAGAAAAGAAAGTTATGGGATTTAAATCCCTTTTTCTGGACATGGATTCTCTAACTTTTTGGTGGAAAAGTTAGAGCGACTTTAGGCCAATTTTAAGTGAAATAAAGGAAATAGTGGTGTTGATTTTGAAGGGAAAAATATGTGAGAGAAAGTAGATTAAGAGAGAAAGGTAGAGAAAAGAAAGTTACGGAATCCAAACCCCCCTTTCTCCAATTAAATGCAGAAACTTTTAAATGGTTAATTGCAAATTGTGTTCTCTTACTTTTTTTGGCTTTTTAAATTTGGATTCTTATGTTTCTAGTTTTGTAATTTTCATCCTTCTATTTTTGCAATTTTTGAAATTGGATTAAATATTAAAATTAAATGTGGCGTGGCAATTTTTTGTTTGATGTTAAAACGTTTTAGTTAAATATACTATTAATTAAAAATATTTAATACTACTTAATACTCTATCTGTTTCAAAACGACTGTCATTTAAAGTTTTTACACATAAATTATGAAATGTAATGGTATTGTCATAAGATATTAAACTTTTACAAAATTAACCCTATTAATATATTGAAAATAGTGTAAAGAGAAAAAATAAAAGATATAATTAGAAAAATAATAATAATTATCACATTGAAAAGTGAAAATGACAATCATTTTAAAACAAAATTTATTTGTTAAAGCGACGGTCATTTTGAAACGGAAAAAGTATCATTTTAAAAATATTAACTAGTAATAAATTTTCTAGTTATGAAAAATATCTTTAAAAAAGTATTGCTATCTTTAGTTTTTATGCATTTTCTTCCTTAATTATATCGTTTAATTAATATTATTATAATATGTTTTTTGGTTAAAAATAAAGTGATATTTTTATTTATATAAAATTGATATAGTATTTACTAAAACTATCAAAACGAAATAATTCTATGATATTTATGAATATATAAGTATTGATCTCATTTTGATCTAATAGACCTTACTAAAGACCCAAACTTAAATTATTAATAAAATAATAAATTCATAAAAACAATAAATTAATTAATTATTTATAACACTCCCTCTCAAGTTGGTGAATGTATATCTATCATTTTTAGCTCGAAATTTCTTTAAAGTTATTGGTGTTAAACTCTTTTGTTAGAAGATCTGAAAGATTGTCTTGGGAGGACACATATGGATTGCAAATAAGATTATTATTTAATTTTTTTAATGAAATGTCTATCAACTTCAATATGTTTGATTGTGTCATGTTGCACTAGATTATGAACCATGCTGATAGTAGACTTATTATCACAATAAAATCTCATTGGTTCATCACACTTTATCTTCAAATCTTTTAAGATTGATTTCAGCCATATTAGTTCACATATCCCTTGTGCCATTGTCTTGAATTATGCTTTAGCACTAGATCTTGATACTATATTTTGTTTCTTATTTTTCCAAGTCACAAGATTTCTACCTAAGAAAGTGCAATAATATATAGTTGATCTCTTATCCACAATTGACTATGCATAGTAGGCATCAGTACACACTTCAAGACCTACACTTATGTTTTTTTCAAACAAAATTCCTCTACCAGGTGTTCTTTTTAAATATTGCACAATTTGTAGTGCAACTTGTAAGTGAATTTTCTTTCGTCGGTGCATGAATTGGCTGACTATGCTAACAACAAAAGTAACATCAGGTCTAGTATGTAAGACGTATGTAAGTTTTTCGACTAATCTCTGATACATTTCCTTATCAACCGTAATATTTTCTTCTGCATTTTCCAACTTTACACTTGGATGGTGTACTTACAGGCTTGCATGATGTCTTGTCAGCTGAAGCGCCTCTAAAAATAATAAACAATGAAGTCGCCACTGAATTTTATTTATCCTAGAGAGAGAGAGAGAGAGAGAGAGAGAGAGAGAGAGAGAGAGAGAGAGAGAGAGAGAGAGAGAGAGAGAGAGAGAGAGAGAGAGAGAGAGAGAGAGAGAGAGAGAGAGAGAGAGAGAGAGAGAGAGAGAGAGATCAAGAAAATCTCTAAGATGGGAAAGAATATGGTCTTGCGACCAAGAGAAATGTACAAAAGTCGATTACGCAATGGAAAATATTAGCATCCCTCATGTCTGTGGTACTCCACGAGATTCACTCTAAAGGTGTGTTATCTAAAGAATTTACTTGCTAAGGGAATACATGAATGAATTTAAAGGAAAAAAAGAAAAGGTTTTATTATTGAGTTCGTCCGAGTTTTGCAACTCAGTGCCTACGTATCTCAAGGGAATCAGAACTCCGTAGTTCTTCTAAAAACTATTTGTTTGTTGTGTGATTTTTATAGACGATGTTATGTTCGCATTCTAATAGTTAATATTTTTCGCTCGACCTTTGGAGACTCATGCATTGTTATAACGAAATTAACATATCCTTTTTTAAAAGGTTTTCGAAAGAAAAGAGCCCTAAGACAAGAAAAGATTGGGATTTGTTGTAGTGTTTTTGCTGAGGATAATAGTAAATGTTACTCAAACATGGACACGTAGTTATTCCTCTTTGGTTTTGAAATGGTTTGTGATTTGTTAAGTGTTTTTGAATTTTTGATTAAGAAAATAGTTTTTGTTTTAAGAGGATGTAAAAGAAAAGAACAAAATCTATAAAAAAAACTTGATCCTAATGTTATCATGTAAGGTGGACATAAGGTTGTGATGAAAGGAGAAACTAACCTAATATTATCATGCACAAATTACTCTAAAGTTGAGGGTTTTTTTTATAGGAGAAAATATAACCTTAAATATTATCATGTATGGATCAATCATAATGTCTAATCTTGATTCCATTTAATAAAGTCGAAAACCTTTGATTAAATCGAATCAAAATCTCTTAAGAAAACATGTTAAAATCAAACCAACAATCAAATAAGTATGGAGAAAGTAATACTAATATTTTTGAAGCATTTTTTTAATTAAATATGATAATGAGCTATCCTAAATTAGCCTAAGAAAATCTAACTAAATTAAATAAATAAAAATATTTTTTTTGGTATTTTTATCTACTTTTATTATAAGAATAATAACCTAAATTAATTAAATAAAATTAATTAGGTAAAATAATCTCAATATATTTTATTATTATATTATG